ATATTATATATATATTATTATATTATATATTATATATTATATATTATATATTATATATATATTAATATATTATATATTATATATATATATTATTATATTATATATTATATATATATATATATATTATTATATTATATATTATATATATATAATTATATTATAATAATAATATAATATAATATTATATTATATTATTATATTATATATTATATATATATATATATATATATATATATATATATATATATATATATATATATATATATATATATATATATATATATATATATATATATATATATATATATATATATATATATATATATATATATATATATATATATATATATATATATATATATATATATATATATATATATATATATATATATATATATATATATATATATATATATATATATATATATATATATATATATATATATATATATATATATATATATATATATATATATATATATATATATATATATATATATATATATATATATATATATATATATATATATATATATATATATATATATATATATATATATATATATATATATATATATATATATATATATATATATATATATATATATATATATATATATATATATATATATATATATATATATATATATATATATATATATATATATATATATATATATATATATATATATATATATATATATATATATATATATATATATATATATATATATATATATATATATATATATATATATATATATATATATATATATATATATATATATATATATATATATATATATATATATATATATATATATATATATATATATATATATATATATATATATATATATATATATATATATATATATATATATATATATATATATATATATATATATATATATATATATATATATATATATATATATATATATATATATATATATATATATATATATATATATATATATATATATATATATATATATATATATATATATATATATATATATATATATATATATATATATATATATATATATATATATATATATATATATATATATATATATATATATATATATATATATATATATATATATATATATATATATATATATATATATATATATATATATATATATATATATATATATATATATATATATATATATATATATATATATATATATATATATATATATATATATATATATATATATATATATATATATATATATATATATATATATATATATATATATATATATATATATATATATATATATATATATATATATATATATATATATATATATATATATATATATATATATATATATATATATATATATATATATATATATATATATATATATATATATATATATATATATATATATATATATATATATATATATATATATATATATATATATATATATATATATATATATATATATATATTATTATATTATAATAATAATATTATATATATTATATTAATTTCAATATTAAAAGAATTAATTTTGTCAGCGTTAAATAATCTTAGATCCGAACAATTAGGATCGAAATATCGCATCTGGCTATTATTAACATTATTCGCGCCCTTCTCTAGACTTTCATATTCGCAAATTATCCTCTCCCGCTTATTCCGTCGGAGGTTACCTCTCCTCCGCTGTCGCGTAATTAACTCGTTTTCCATTGCACGAAACCGGAGCGAAAATTAAAAACGAGGATCTTAGGTATGCTCGAGTCGTCGCGAAGTATAACTTTTCGCGGACGTTACCGCCTAGGAACCCATCGCGCGGAACAGTCACGAACTTATTCGACTGCGTCGTTTTAGGAAGCATAATGGGTTCTACCTACTTTCACAGTTGAAAAAAATTATGCGATCTTTATGGGGGCCAATTTTCGTCAGAAGTTCAGTCAACATTTCTTCGCCGACTATAAGACGTTAGAATTACGTGTAAAACGTTCCGACACGGTATTCGGTTACATTCTGTACAGAAATCTGTAAATTTCCTGGTCGATAATAGATTATCTTCTCTATTATTAGACCGCGGATTTTTATGCAAAATAGAATTTGTCTCCACAAATTAAAGCAATTAGAAAGTAAATTAAAAATTTCTTTCTGTCTGTGATAATTTGAATGGATTAAAAATAATGTTTTAATTCTTCTCTAATACCTTTTAGCTTTTCTACTGTTTTATAATTGGAACTATCTATCGTATTCATTGAAATATTATGATCAATTCGACAGCAATAAGATTTTATTGATAGTGGGAGAACTTTTTATATTCTTCAGAAAATTCTACTTTGATTAATTTTCAGTACGAAATGTGTTTCTCAAAGCTAATGTATTTTAGAATTAATTTCTCTGTGGAAACTATACTTATTATTAGGGATTATTATGACTTGAGACAGTACATCGAATACTTTAAATATCCGCAAATGTGTGTACTCGATGCAAAAGATTTAACAGTTCTTCGAACAATTAATTTTTATTATAATACATCGAACGAATTCAATGTTCAATAATACTTCGAATTAAACGAATATTTCGTGGGGTGAATTTTAACTTTCCAGTTTCGGATGTTGATTTTAACATTTGATATTTAATAAACAACCTCATTATTTTATCACATGTTTATTTATTAATTCACTGCGTATTTCATTTATTATTTCAAATACGTATTACGTATTTATTTATTATTTCACGTACATATTACATATTCGATTTATTATTTCATACACACATTACATATTTTACTTATTATTTCATACACGTACATATTACATATTTGATTTATTATTTAACGTGCAGTTTATTAAAATTATTAAAACAGTAAAAACATTTTTCCCTGACTTAGGTATCTCGTAATTAACTTGGACAATTTTAATTTCGCTTTTGAAGATCCTCAGTCTAACATGTTAACCTGCGCGAAAAATGATGTTCCTTCATTTTCCGAAAGCCGGCATGTGGCATAATTTTCTTGCAACGTAGTATGCGATCGAAGCGGCACTAAACTTGTTAAGATGTTATCGCGTCTTTCGAGAAAAGTGCGCGGCCATTAAAAAGATCTCTCCGGGGTACGCTAACAGCTGCGCTGGAAGATGCTCGAACGGCACGATGGCGTGTTGCCGTCGTAGTTTCCGCGTAGAGTCGCGTCTCGTTGCCAGGAAGACAGTCTGCCAGCCGGAATACGCCTCGCTCGCAGGTACACGCAGTCTAGCGCAGTCGTCGTATGCAAATTTCGCAGTGCGGCTCAAAGAAGTTTCCCCCCGTTTCCTGGAATCTCAGCCGACGCTTTAATTAAATGCGTTTCCAGGACGGGGCTCGCCACAATGCTATATAACCTACGGATCGCTGGTCTTCACCCAGCCAATTAGACTATTCGATGACTACGACTGAATGCATCGCTAATTCCTGCTGACAGCCGTGTAAACTCCTACGCTTTTCGATTACAGTTCGAACGCCTGCTTACACTTGTGCTTTTCGTTGCCGCGGTTCGACCGTTCCGAGTGCGAACATAACTTCTCAGCGAGAGAGGCGCGAGTTGAATATTTTTGCGACGATTACAATTAATTTCGAATCGATACAAAAGGTGGGCGAAATTTGCGCTCGAGGGGATAATAGAAGAACGCGGGAAAAAATAACGGGAAAAGAAGCCAGACAAAAATTTTGTTTCTCAATTTTAAGTACTAAAATGTGAGTGGATTATTTTTTCATCGGTAAGGACTAAAAAAATAGGTGTGCATTTTATTTTCGAACGTGATGTGTGTGAATCAGTTTTAGAAATTACAAATCTTTACCAGATTTTGACGAAAATATTATGATAATTACATTCGACGAGGGGAAGTTATATTGTTTATTAAATCATTTGTAATTTCACTTCGAGTGACGGCGAAAAAGAAGCTTGTAAATGTGAACAATTTCTTAAAAAAGTTAAGAGGAAAATTTGGCAAAAAGTATTCGAACGAACTGAACGTTATTATAATTATAGATATACTCGATGTAAAAGTGTATTTCTTCAAAGATAAAAGCAAACGCAATGCACATTTTACCAAGATTACTATAAATCAGCGGCAAACCGAATTCACATTTTTAAGAATCACATTTTATAATTTCGAGTGAATCAATGATCGATCTGTATTTGATTACTTGAATCAATTCAAGATTATTGTATATTACTGTAACGAAAGCGAAAAGTAACGTATAAAATGTCGTTCGAATATTTTTGTAGAAACCGTGATGGAAAGATATCACAGGAAACAACGTGTATAACGTAACAGAACGCTGCATAGTGCCGTGATTATTAGCCCGGGCATAGTTGACCGTGGTTGACGAAACGCTTTCCTAATTGTAAGTCGATTCGACAGGTCGCTTTGAGAGACAATTAAGCGCGCGCTTGTTCGCTAGTATTGTAAATTATTTTCGTCGAAAGGCATTCCCGGCATATTACTTTGTGCCCCGGCGCAGTCCGGTTTCACGTAAATTGGGCGTAAAATATAATTTACCCTGGTATTTAGCGTTGTGTTGATCACAGTGTTGCAGAATTTATTATACCTGTTAGACACAATACGACAATTCCGCTCCTTGCTACGAGGCAAGAGGCACTCGAACGCGGTAAAAAGTTTCGTTTCGAAGGATTCTCGAAACGAGAAAAAACTGTATAGTTAATTGGACGTTTGGGCCACGATGTGGTATAATCTTTTTTCGTTAATATTAATTAGTTACACGGCTTCTTGAAAGAAGCTCTTCGCAAAATGACTGGGATACAAAATTATTATTTACCACGTTGTCGTATTTTTAATTTAACTTAATTCAATTACTTAACATCCTTCACTGTGTACATGCTGTTGCAAACGGTTTCGTAAATTTCCGATCACGCGTTGCATAGCGCATCCATCGCAATTGCACCAATTTCACTGCGATTGTTTTCTTTCAATTCCTGAATTGTCTGCTGTCAGTGCCGGCCACGGCGCATCTCCGTGTCGCGAAATTATCTTCCATAAATAAAATGTACTTTCGATCGCTTGCATTTGAAAATAAACGTCGCACGAATTTGCACGAGTTTGTGAAAATTTTTGCAAAAACCGCCAGGTTCCTTTGCGCGCACCCTGTATAACCACCCTGTGCGTTCCGGAGCACTCGGTCTGGCGTGAACTTTCTGCGAAAGGTGTGCGGCCAAAGGCGGGAACGAGTTGCCTCCCTTAACAGAAATGTTCTTCATTTCAGGGAATGCTCGATACCCGAATTTCTAATGATTCCGCACAGCCACTCCGCCAAAACTAATTTATCGAAACTAATTAAACGCAACCGGATAAAGTTTCCGCTACAGTCGGAAAGTTATCCTTCGGGGAGAAAACTTTCCGACGGGATAGTCGGATCTCACTCGCGCACCGATACATTTGTTGTTTATTGAACGTATCGCGAGGCTCTTATGCTACTTTCATCTGCTTACGCCGGAACACCAAACCCAAGTCAGCCGTTCCGAATATTCTGCGATCGCACGCGAACGACGATCGAAGGATCGCAATGTTTGAATTTGTGAACGCAAGACTCGGTGATTAGCCCACTGTGTCTCATACACGCCATTCCTACGGTGTTCCGAGTTTTGTCATTTTCAATCGTGTTCCATTTTTTCACGATTGTTTTGCTACTTTGCAGTGCACGGACTTTGTTGTAAACAATTTCATTGTTTGGACACAGCTGATTTAAATTTATTTTGAAGGATTTATTTTCATTTTTAAGGATTTACATTTATTTCGGAGGATTTAAATTTCTTTACTTCCTAAAAAATTCCCACGAAATCTGAGTAATTTGTTTAATGAAACTGAAACTAGATGGTTAAAATTGATCGTAGTTGACGGTATTTTAAGTCTTCTGCGTTTGAAACGTCCTAGTAAAATTCAGTTTTTGTATGCAATTGAAATGAATTTTTAAATATTTCTTTACGAAATATCGTGATATCGAGAGTTAATTGTGAGAGAAGATCTTGTATCAGAATGCCAAGAATGAGATAATTTTTTTGAACTGATAATTTATTGTATATTCCAGGAATATAATTTTGTTCTGCACTGTTTCTAAAGCAGTAAAAAATTGGCAAATTGTGTAGAGTTTGTCTATAAAAATAATTTCTTTCGATGATGATATGTGAAGAATGTGTAGCATGCTGTGCTTGAACCAACTAACATTATATAAAAATGCGAGCAGTGCGTACAGATTTTAGGAACTTTTACACGAACGATTGTATTTCGTTAGACTCGAATTCGAATAGACAGCTGTTGAAAGTGGTGCTCTTTGAACCGTGTCGGATCAAAATAAATCGTGTAAAACAAAAAGAATTGAATCTCTTTTCTAAAACGTGTGAAATCGGAACCGTTATAAAAAAATCTGTGCCACAGCTGAATCCGATGAAAACTTGTCCCTTGCGTTTCGCTGCAGGTGAAAAATATAACAACTCCGTTAAAGAAGACGATGAAAAACAATATCTCTCTCTCTCTCTCTTTCTCTCTCTCGTTACAACTAGACCGTGGATTTGTGACGCAAAAATTTTGATGCAAAACAATTGGAAGTCGCAAGAAGAAATTGATAATACTGTTACGCTATTTTTCGATCTATCAAAATTACTGAAAGCATTTTTTTTGCATAAAAGTCCGCGGTCTAGCAAGCTGCCTTCGAATGATTACTTCGTCTATTTGTATTAAATAGTTTTCGACCGTAAGTGATTAACTGTTCAATGCGGTTCCCGGTGTAAAGCGACACCGTAAGTCGCGAACACCTGAAAACGAAGATAAATATCGCCATCGCTGTCGATGCGGTTCAATGCGAAACCTTTCATCGGCGAATATCTCCGTTTGATTTCAGGTGGTGAGGCTCCGAAAGTCAAAGACTGCCCGAACGACATAGAGGTCACAGGGAAAAATGGGTCAGCGATAACGTGGACCGAGCCAATATTCACGGATAACGTGAAAGTGACCCGCATTCGAAGCAACGAGGTCAGTGTTAATCATGCAGTACTTACTTTCTTAATGAAGTTTGACTCATCGCTGCAATTATCAAATGCGGCAACGCTGCGCGTTCTGCTTTTGTGGTAATAACTGTGCTTTATGCCGGCGCGTAACGGAACGGTAAACCATTAGGCTGCGGATATATTCATGCATGATCAAAATTGTCAAAGGTAATCTAGTGAGAAACGTAAATTACATGAAAATGTCTTGCCTCTTTTAATAATTGTAATTAGTTGGAAATAATGTAACAATATTCGTAACTTCTTCCAATGTGTTTATAGTTTTCTATTTGGCCTGTTCAATTTTGCCATAAGTGCGTAAAATCCGCAGTCTTTTAATCGTTGTTACCAGTTCTTTCGATCTTCTAGAGTGAACCTTCGTTAATTATAATTAGGCGTGTCCCATCCAATTGCTTTCCAATTTTCTAATTTTCTTGATAGAACAGAATTTTAAGAAAATTTTTATATAAAGGAAAAATGTATCAATTTATACCTGTAATATATTTTCCGGATCTAATAATGAGAGATTTATAATTTGTCATTAAATGACATTTATATATTTTCACACCCAAGTTAATACTAATGAAAATATTATTAAGAACAATTTAACAGCGCTTGCCGGTATTACAATAATTAATTATACAATCTACCAAGCTACCTCGATAGTTTTCTTTTCTAATTTTATAGCTATTTCTGAAAATTATAAATAATCGAAACCTTGTTGAAGTCATAAAAAGAGCGATAAAAAACAATTGATAAACAATAGAAAGTTTCAACAGAGTATTCCCGAATATAATACACGAATTATAAAATGTGTTATTATGGTAATAGTTATTGATTACAGATACTTTAGGTTCGTTTGGTTAATATTGCAGAAGCACAGAACCCCGCGGCCGTTAATGGACGCATTAATTCCAATCAGTATGAAAACTGCACACGGCGGTTATTAATTTTCCGCACATTCTGTATAACGCAAATAGCGCGCGGGCTCTTTATAAAACATTAACGAATATCCGAAAATTTTTCAATATTCCACTGTATGCAATAACCGGCCGAAATTCGGAACTAATTATTCGGTGCACTTGTCGGGGCTTGTCGTTAATTGCAGAATAATAATTGCAGAAATAAATTTTTGGCACATGAATTTTATAAATTACGAAAAAGATAATTTTGTATTTAAAGACGGTTAAATTGTGAAAAAGATAGAAATTTATTTTTATTCTCAACGTTTTTAATCGGCTGAAAACGACCTAACAACACTGTTAAATCACACCTAAATGTTTGCTTTTCACTGTTTGCTTTTCATTCTAACTCTTTATTGTAACTAAACATTCTTTCATATTTCTTTGTCTCGTAACAAACGTACGAATGGAGACGGTTAATTTGATCGACGGTTCGGTTCGAATTGCTCGTGCAAACTGCGGAAAGTTCGTCGCGAATTTAAACTACAGTAAGTGTACGCAGAAAACACGATCTATGTTGCTACGCAAACATCGTATAATAATTTTGTTTACCGACTACTTTGCGATGGCACCGTCGCGTTTCGTTCTGTGTAACATCATACATAGAATACAAAGTCGTCTCATAAATACTAGACACCTTTTATTTGCCTGGTGAATTTTAAATCTCTCGCTGCATTCTGCCGAGCTATCCGACTGCGCTGAACTCTGACTGAAACCGAAAACCAGGAAAATCATGGTGCTACGGAGCATCAGGAATGCATCGAGCGATCGTATTTTTCATCCCTTGGTAAATTTGTACATTTTTTGAAAAAAGAACGAACTGCATTTTGCTATTGTCTCTGTTTAAGTTTTCTTGAATCTCTTGGAATAGGACAACGAGTCTGACTCATTTGTTGTAAATCGAAACAAGATTTGATCCTTCTGTTATCAAAATCCAAAAACGAAAGTAAATGAGCACTTTGTACAGTGCAGGAAACAAAAATTGTCTCTTCCTGTTAGAAAAATTATTAACACTAGATTTATAGGTCCCGTAATTAAATAATTACTAATTATTTTATTTATGACTATTGAGATTGCGAAGAAACATTTAGCAGTTATT